GACGTCAAATGAACAGATAGATCTGCTTTTCCTATTCATCTGCCTTTGCTAAACTGAACTAAGCACTGAGATCTCTTGGATAGTCAAACACACCAAATCGTTTGCTTTCATGCAGACGTTTTGTTTTACAATGTGCTGGCTAATTTCATTTCAAGAATACGGTTCACACATAAGATCTCCCCCTAGGAGCGGCAAACAATTTGGATCCATACGTAAACCCCAGGTCTAATATAACATTCCTTCTACGCAAGCATTATTTCAATACACTCCGTGCACGCAAACTGAAGCGCAAAGTCACACCATATATGCAAGCACAGAACCAAGTGAAATCGTGCATACTGGCGTTACCTCATCTGTGCCGAGTTACGCGTTTATCGTACTGTAATGGGTGTTTTTAACTGAACAACTACCTTCTGTCATTTATCCTGTTTGACCCTCATCCCTGTTTTTTGTGATTAATTCATAAAGAATGGTGATATACATTGGGAATTGTCACTCGTCTCAATTCTTTCGTTCTCACTTGCGACCCCGTCGTTGAAACACTCAGTTCCATAATTTGACCCTGGTTCTCCATCTGGTCATATATCCCACTAATTCAAAAAATCCATTTTTGTTACTAAATTTTATTCCATAGAGATATGCATAATGTTATAACAGATAGGTAGCCATTTAATAGCTAATGGTAGAGTGACTTTGAGGACGAGAACAAAGGTAAATCCAATTGAGAAAATCTAATGGTGGCAGTACTGGAACTTGAGAACCCTGACTTCGGATCCACATATTATTGGCCTACATTGGTTTTCGTATACTAGCTTACCTAAATTGATCCCTGGTTACTGACATAGATGAAGCCAATAGAGAATTGCAACCGACGTAAGGAGATGCAGTATGGTTCTGTATAAATCAATTTGGTATCATCAGGCAGTTGGCAGTGTGTTTGAACGCAAAAACGGAGCGTAGAAGTATCTCCTAGAGAGATCTGTTAATGATTGCAGTAGTATCAATGAAAGTGAAGTTATTATATCTACGTCAGTCTAGTTGGAAAACTAGAATGGCGGAAGTTGCTTCCATTCCATTGAAAACTTTGTCCTTTGTCTTTTGGGTGATTCAGAGTAATAATTTAGAACTCATCCTTAATATCCGGCTCAATCAATCTGGTTAGCGGTTATTATTAATGTTTATTAAAATAAAGTGGAATGTGTATGATACCCATCTGTAGAAGCAGTGCCGATTACGTAGAACGGTCCGCAGTTGTACAACCGTGAAAAATAAAACCATCAAAAAGTATGAATTATACTCATATCAAACATACGTTTAATCTTGTAAAACCTAAATGCGCTTGGCCACCACAACGGTCAACAACTTTGTCAGAAATGTGGGACTTACATAAACACCAGCAAGTACGTATTTGTAATATACTAATCCGCGACTTCTGGTGAAAAATACTACCCCACTGTTTGTCTGGCAATCAGACCGCCCAAGGTACCACGCTAATGGTATTGTAACAGTTGACCACAATCTTGCGATTATTCGATCGTTCCGTAATCACGTGGTTGTGATAAGGTTTGTCAAACGCATTCAGCTGTAATCAATACGCATTTCTGAACAGACATAGAGAGCTGGAATGAATTGAGGTGTACAACTAGCCGATCATCTGCTTCGCCGGTAAATGGGAGCTCCTCTAGCCAAACACATTTGCTTATACTAATTAGGCTTTATAATTGCACCAGTCAAGTATGCCAAATAAATACAAAAGTACTTATCCTGCAATACACTGATATTGGAATGCAATCATAGTCACACTGACAATTACCTCAGTCCCGTCAGCATCCCCAGTCCGGTTTGTGGATATTTCATTTTTTGTTTATTATTGAATTTAGTTAGTTGGTCGCCTATGCGTAAAGCAAAGTTATCGAGTGGGTGTAGACCCCTTTTATAGTAGACTCAGATGGCATTCTAAAATACCGTAGAAACTGAATAATTATAGGAGTTTCCATTTAATCTGCGCTGATAAAGCATATACGACCAGCTAAGGCCATTTAGTTTGAATAAGCTGTTTACATCTGCTAGAAACCACTTG